CTACTCATCCCTCGTCTCCCTCTTCTTGATTGGCACACAGCGCCCAGCCTACTCTACTCAGCCTATACTAGCCTACTCTACGTATATGCAACAGGAGTCGCTTCAAGCTGAAGACCAATGTACGTGACGACGTCGCCAATGCAGACTGCCAGCATACACCAGGTACGTGCCTCTCCTCTCCTCCTCCTCATTCCTCGTCTCCTCACAGGCGTATCCCCGACACCCGAAGACCACCATCACCATCACCAGCCACCGAAGCAGGACTGGCTATGGCCGCTCGCGCCCGCTGCCCACTTGCAGCACCCCCACTTCCACCAGTAGCACCCATGTGCGCTCTCCAGCCAGGGCCCCAGCAGCCTGCCCGTGCCTAAACCAGCAGTGTGGGCGCTAGGTTGCCTCCCGCTAGAATGTCTGGCTGGGTGACAGGCACTTTCCTTTATGGAAAGTGCTAGCTGGCCATGGGGACCAGTAGCTTTCTGTCAGGCCAAAGTGCCTGCGCCCAGGGCCAGTTCAGATACTGGCCGGGGCCAGATGCAGGTCCAGTGTGCGACATGGCTCCCAGTGGTCGCTGCATGCTGATTGGCTCGTGGCCAGTGTGTGACACCGCATCTGGATTTTCATTGGTCCGCGGCCATTGTGCAACATGTCGGCCTCTAGTCTCTCGCTGGAAATATGCAGGGCCTAATCACTAGTCACACAGGCATGGCCTGCTTCCAGAGCCTGAGTGAGCAGGCCAGGCTCAAGTGTAACTGCCCAGAGCCTTTACCAAACGTGCCCATGGCCCCGTTCGGCAGGAGGGCTCAACTGCCCAGCTTCAGGTCTGGCGACTAGGTCATGGTCAACCAGCATCCACGTGCTGTAACTGTCTGGCTTGAGGCATGGACTCAGCAAACCGCTGGTTAGGACCCAACGGGATTTCGAGCCCCCAGATGATTTCTAACAGGCGCAAGCCTTTCAACAACCTCTTGGAGCCTTCTGCATTGCCCCTTTCTGCGGTCACATTCGTTTGTACTCAGGCCTAGGCGCATATTTGCAGCCCCACCTTCACTTAGGGAGGGCAAGGCCTTTTCCAAAACTGCCTAGGGGCTCAAATCCTCGCATACCTTCCCCCTTAGCTTCAAAAGTCCCGTGAGGAGCATTTAATTACTTTGTCAGCCTGGAGTCCCCACCTCCTCTGGGATATATGTGATGTTCGTAGAAAACTTGGAGATTGCAAGACCTGTCAAAATTGTAGATAGTTGTATCAATTTGACCCGAAACCGGGTGATCTAGCCATGAGCAGGTTGAAGAGAGTCCTAACGGGCCTTGGAGGACCAAACCCACGTATGTGGCAAAATACGGGGATGACTTGTGGCTAGGGGTAAAGAAAGAAAGAGTAAGAATCAATCGTCCGAGTATTGATTCTTCAGCGTATTTTACGCTTCATGCCTTGGTTGTTGTCTCCATCCATGGTTGGGGGCAGCATACGTCTTTGACGAAAGATAATCAGATTGTAATGATTGATGCAGGTGATACACAGAATACAGGACAGGTATGTAGGTGTCCTGGAATTTTAATAATGTAGGAGGGACTATCTGAATTATTTCATGTTATACGTATGACTTCCCAATAACCAAAGTACTATGGAGTTAGAGATGTCAATCCCCTGTCCAAATAATCGTGACCTTACAGTGAGTCATTCCCGTACTAGAAGTGTGGGCTGTTGACTATACTTGCTCTCAAATGCAACTATGGCATCTTGAGGTTTCTGTATGTGTTTGACAGCCTGCTGCAGCCGCTTATCAGCAACCTCTAAAGCTGCTATGAGCTGCTGTTGATCAGTTTCCGATAGAAGGAAGTCTATCGTTGATCAAGGCTTCCGACTCAATTGCATCTGGCTGATGGCCCATCTATCCTGAAGTTATTTGACAGTTGGCAGCCCATCTATCCTGAAGTTATTTGACAGTTGGCAACCCATCTATCCAGCCACTTTCTTCCACAATTCGCTTGTGAAAAGGACATCTCAATCATTTACTGTTCACTTGGGCAGCCCAATATCAACACGTGCCCCCTGTTCGTCTGTAAATAACTCAGTTTATGTAGTTTTCGAGATGGCGACTAACCTTAGCATAGTACGACTAACCTTAGCATAGTACCGGTCCTCTATGTAACATCTTGCTCTTGTCAATCTTGCTGGTTTCAAATGTATTTGAAAGCTAGACCAGTTGTGAAAGAGAAGGTTTTGTGTTTCATAGAGGATAACCGTAGTCATTATACTAGGTTTGCTGAAATCTCCCTGTATCTGAAGTGTCCGGTCACATCATAACATTATTCTAAAAATAAACAACACAAAATCAGTTATTGTATGCTTTTTTACTAATAAGTTATACGCGCCCCTGTTGCATACGCGCCCGCCTAAGTGAAGGCGGGCCTAACAAATCACAAGAGGCCCTCAGCTGAGTCAGCTGTCAATTTCGCATTTGGGGGTCCAGGCAGTCGTGACGCGCCAGTTGGTTGAAAGGAAAACCCAGGCCGAGCAACAAAGTTATTCCACGGCCTTCTGGGCCTTTCGGAGGATGCAGGCCCTGGGCGAGAATCGCAGCCTCAGACACCGACAGTTGGGAGGCCCAACCGAAAGAGGCCCAGTAGCTGCAACACAAGTGCAGCATCCTGGGGCCTACCGGAAGCTTCTGGGCCCAGGCCAGTCCAGCCAGGCTGCGAAGGCAGGAGGCTCTTTCCATATAGGAAAGAGCTCGCCACGGGCAGCCTCATTCAGGCACTCGCATGCTAGCGGCAGTGCTGCTGGAGCGGATGCTCGTGGGCTGCTGCTGGCGCTGAGAGGCGAGGTGCAAGCATGTGCGGTCGTGCAAGAAGCAGGGCGCTGCTGAGGGCAGCGCCATAGCCCAGCCTCCATAGCTGGCTGAGGGCTTGGATGTACAGTGAGGCGCAGGGGTGGTCTTCGGGTGTACAAGGGAAGATGTGGGAGTAAGACAAGGGAGAGAGAGAGACAGAAGGATGATGATGATGATGTGAGGGCACATATGCGAGGCCAAGGCCCCGATGAGCCCCATTTTGGCTCTGTTATGCAGCATGTCGGCCGCCCTAAGTGAAGGCAGGCTCGACGAGGGCCTGAGGACCCCTATTTCGGTCACCATGCAACTGTGGAAAATTCAGGCAGTTGCGCAGCGCCAGTTGGTTGAAGAGCACCCAGGCCCAGGCCACCTGTTTGCATGTATGGAAGGCAGGCCCTGGGTTGGATACGGGTCATGGGCCAAACACCCGCCGAGGACAGTTGGGCACAAGTAACCACCACAGGCCCTGGGACTGATTTGTTTGGACTGGGCCTCAGCCTACCGGGGCCTACCGGAAGCTTCTTGGGACAGGCCCAGCGCAGCTGCAGGCAGGCCACTTCCATATAGCAAAGGGCCTGCCTCTGCATTGGGCATTCGGGTGCTGGCTGCATGCTGCGCAAGCGCTGCTACGCTGAAGCTGGCTAGCGCTCACGCGCTCACGGGCGAGCTGGAAGGAGCAGGCAGCCATAGCCGAGCTGCGCTGCTGGGAGCTGGGTGTGGCGCAGGGTGGTCCTTGGGTGCATGTGGCATCTGTGTGTTGGGGAACGAGGTTGTGAGTGATGCGAGAGACATACCTGGTGCTGGAAGCGTGCGGCATTGGCCGCTACCTGCTCGTACTTCGGGAGAGCTATTGTCGTCATCTTCAGCATTGTAGTCTAGGCTAGATAGGATCTGCCATCTGTAGTCTGGGCGCCGAGCGCCAGATAGGATATCAACATTGGTTCTTCGTTGATGACGATGATGAGACTATTCCAGCATTGTCAATTATGAGCTTTTGGTGTGTTCTTATTTGGTGAAACTCGTGATGCAATTCTGCTCTTGGTTCGAGGTCACGACTATCTGGTCTTATGTGTATGATGCTGTTTGATTGCTGAAGTTCGCTATTGCTCATCTTCCTTGCAATTTGCTATTGGAGCTGTGGTACGTTGCGCTCCTCTGGCGCTTGTCTTCTGCTTATGCGGTACATACATGCGGTCTGCTTGGTGAGTGAGGCCGTAGGCGGTGTGTAGTGAGGAGGGCGGAGACAAGGTGTGGCGACCCAGGAGAAGAGGGGAATCGTCAGGAAGGCTACGGTGTGTATATGGGGTGTTCGCAGTGTGATGAGAACTATCTGTTGGGTGATTGAGGCTGAGGTGGAATGGTGAAATGCAGGTTGTGCCGATGCTGTGACTGGTCATCGCAATCGCCATCAGATCATCTGGTGAGAATATATGCTGTCTCTTATACACATCTAGATGTGTATAAGAGACAGGTGTGACTGGTCATCGCAATCGCCATCAGATCATCTGGTGAGAATATATGTGGTTGGGGGCAGCTATAATGAGGTACGTTGCTCTTAACCTTATCTACCCTCTTCATTACTTCTTACCGTGAGGTTGTGAGTTCCTTCTTGAGAGTCCTCTCATGTGAGGTGTCGTGTGTGCTCAACCTTGAGAGTCGGCATTGTTCACGTGGAGCATCTGGAAGGAGAGGGCAGTGCTTTCTGAAGGGCCCTGGACGGAGCACTGGGTCTCGGTCACCATACCAACCCACCGGGAGTAGAGCACGCATGCTTTGCTGCTTTGTCCTTGTCTGCTTGCTGCGCTCATAGAAGGGGTACTGAAGGGCAGGCCAGCCCTAAGGGAGAGACGAGTATCGGGCGTCTATAAATAAACACCGGCTGGGGAGACCATTGGTTGTGATCGTCGTCCTGCTGCGACGTAAAATAATTCCTGATGACACTTGGGGGCGGTCGTTAAATTGCCTTTGGATCAGCCAATTGGTGTAGGGCTCGCTGCACGCGAGGATAAACATTGTGCAGGGCTGGCCAGCTCAGCAGCTACTCGGGGCACAGGGGTGGGCCGTGTGCCCACCTTTTACTCAAGCACGCCAAACCGGATTGCTCAGGGACGCTGACGTCAAATGACAATCAAGGGGAATTGGGGAAGGGGTAGATTCCAGGTGATATGTTTGAGTAAGATCCCATGCTGCAAACAGACCCAACAAATGATATTATTTTTATTTTGATTAGTTAGATGTACTGCCATTGACATCTGACAGACAGCATAGTTTAGGACCATACTTGGGGCGCATCGATGCGCTGCGCGATGTGGTGCGGTGCGTCGTGCGCCAGTCGGGGATGCGCGCATTGATGCGCAATGCGCGCGCATCGATGTGCAGTGCACAATGCGGGATGCGCTGCGCGCCACTTGGATGCGCAGTGCGCCGGGGCGTGCGCGTGCCGCGCGCATAGTGCGGTCGGGCATGGAGGGAAGGGGAGGACAACGACGGAGGGAGGAGGAGATGGGTGATGAGGGAGGGAATGGAGGAGCGAGGAGGAGATCAATAGCGACGGAGGAGGGGGAAGGGAGAAGGGCGGAGGGAGGACGACACCGATGATGGAGGGAAGGGGAGGACAATGACGAAGGGAGGAGGAGATCAATGACGAGGGAGGAGGAGATCGATAACGAGGGAGGAGGGGGAAGGGAGAAGTGTGGAGGGAGGGCGACGTCGATGATGAAGGAGGGAGAGGGAGCAGTGGTGCACTATTAAAAATTTCATATATGAAAAAAAAAAAAAAAACAGGGACGACATGATGAAGGAGGGAGGGGCACGACAGCGATGGAGGGAGGAGGAGATCGATGATAAGAGAGGGAATGGAGGAGGGAGGAGGAGATCGATAACGAGGGAGGAGGGGGAAGGGATAAGGGCGGAGGGAGGACGACGCCGATGATGCATGAGGGAGGGGGAGGACAACGATGGAGGGAGGAGGAGATCGATGACGAGGGAGGGAGCGAGAAGGGAGAAGGGCGGAGGGAGGACGACACTGATGATGGAGGGAAGGGGAGGACAATGACGGAGGGAGGAGGAGATCGATGACGAGGGAGGAATGGAGGATGGAGGAGTTCAATAGCGATGGAGGAGCGGGAAGGGAGAAGGGCGGAGGGAGTACGACGCCGGTGATGGAGGGAAGGGAGGACAATGACGGAGGGAGGAGGAGATAGATGATGAGGGAGGGGATGGAGGAGGGAGGAGTAGATCGATAGCGAGGGAGGAGGGGGAAGGGAGAAGGGCGGAGGGAGGACGACACCGATGATGGAGGGAAGGGGAGGACAACGGCGGATGGAGGAGGAGATCGATGACAAGGGAGGAGGGAGGAAGAGAACTTGACGAAGGAGGGAGGAGAGGGGAGGTGGAGAAGAACGATGGCAAGGTCCAAACGGGGAGGAGGAGGAGCTGCACAATTTCCACAGAGAGAGAGAGAGAGAGAGAGAGAGAGAGAGAGAGAGAGAGAGAGAGAGAGAGGGGCTGGTGGTAACCCACCTGGATATGGCCGCTGCTTCCTTCGCTTCCTCCCAGTGCTGCGACCATTGGCTCATTCGTGCTGCTGTTCGCAGCTGCACGGGATGTGGCTGAACGATGAAGTGGGGAGCTGCTTCCTGTTGCAATGAACACGAGAAGAGGAGTACGCGACGACGATGACGGCGACGACGAGACACGGCGGCCGTGAAGGACTGCGTGGCGTCGGGGCACCAAGTCGACTGTTGGGCTGGGGGCCGACGTGGGGCAGGTTCGAGCAGTTCAAAAAATGAACTGCTTGGATCTCCCCGCTCTTTCTTTTTTGCGGGGGCATTCACGGCCTCAAAAAAAAAATTCTGGCGGCGCGAAGTCCCTACCGGGCATACACCCCCCCCCCCCCCAACTTTCGTTTTATTTTTTTGACCCCTCGATTTGCTTGTGCGCCGCGTGGCATGCGCGCGCATCATGCGCGCTGCACGGTGCAGCGCATGCCGATGCTCCGCATGTATGTTTAGAACTGATTCTGTTCATTATGCTTTCTGTTTGCGAGCTAATTAAAGTAGAATAGTATTATTTGTAGGAATCTGAACTTACCTGCTGGACTCGAACGTTTAGTCTCTACTACAACTGCCAATTATTCATATTGGTTTGTACATGTCGCTGCGGTAGGCATCCATTGCGTGTCCTAGTGTAGACGGTGTGCAGTTCTGTAGCATATGAGTGATAGGGACACCACTAGTGAGGATGATTGGATCTTGCGATCGGCTAGACGCCCGATAGCCCACTTGGCCTTAGGACCAGAGGGTGACAGATATCTTGTTCCGCCAGCTTAGGGAGAGGCAGCAGCAGCAGAGGAGAGCTAGAGCAGCAGAGGCTAGCAGGGTGCTCGTAAGCGAAGCCGCAGCTTCGGAAGCCATGGCCACTTCTGCACAACCGACTTCTCAGGCTGGTAGTTCAGGATCTTTAGGGTCAACGGTCACGCAGACCCAGAGTAAGTCGGCTGGAGTTATGGCAAGCCAGCCAGTGGTGTTGTCACCCGAGGAGATCGCCATACAGCAGGCTGCCCTGCAAGAGGCACAACTACAGAAGGCTTTAGGAGAGATTAAGGCAGAAAAAAAAAGCATGATTAGAAGAAGAGCCAGGTTGCAGCGGCGATAGGCGGACATTAGTGAGTTAGAGGAGATGGACCCAGCAGAGCTGGATGATCCAGTGAGGGCCCTGAGGTCGGTCTTGTTAGGAGTGGTAGAGATGCAAGATCAGCAGACGACTATCTTACAGGACATCCAGCAGAGTCTGGCCGTCTTGGTCGAAAGAGCGCAGGCGGCACCATCACTATCCGGGCCTGGTGCCTGACCCGTTGTACATCCTCCTCCTTTTGTTCCATCGGTGACTGGGGTATCCCCATATACCGCTCCAGTATCGGTTCAGCCTGTCTCCCTGGGTATGCCGCTAACAGGAGGGCTCTCAGCAGGTCCTAGTTTACAGGTTTCTGTACAGACAGTGTTTACCCAACCTCTGTCGCAGGTTGTCGTAAGTGTGCAACATGCTGTCTCGCAGCTTGTACAGCCGCAGGGTACACAGCCCCTGCAGTCAATGAAGCAGCCTGTACCATAGGGTCCACAGCCCGGAGTGATGCAGGGGCCGGGACAAAGTCAGTGGGTACCGAAGACGGCCATCGCCGCTCCAAAACCCTTTACAGGGGATAAGAGGGGCGAAGACCTCGACACTTGGTTGAGGGCAGTGTCGATCTATGTCAAGTGCAAACTTACCTTGCCGCACGAGGAAGTGCTTGTGGCTGCCTCCTATTTAGAGGGGAGTGCAGCACGATGGTTGAATGGTTTAGTGGAGCACGATGGTTGAATGGTCACGACTTTCGCGCTTGGGCGGTCACCCAAAAATTGGATGACTTTCTCAAGTTGGTGGAAGACAGGTGGCACGATCCTCAGGAGGCCCAAAAGGCCACTGACGCGATCCTGACACTGCACGCGAGGCAGTTTAAGTCAGTAAGAGAGGCCACTGACGCTGTAGAGCGTCTGATCTGTGTCCCTGGGGTGCGCTATGACCCCCAGGTCTTACTCACCTCCTACCTGAGAATCTGAGATGTTTTCCCATGCCTCTCAGGAATCAGTTGGCAGGTGAGGCCAACATCAATATGCACAACTTTCCCTCGTTCAGTAAGAAGGCCCTAGACCTTGAGGCAAAGATAGGGCATGGACATAATCCCACGACGCATGGTAGGAAGAAGACACTGCCTCCCAACTGGAAGGCGAAGGGTCGCATAATGTTTGTCGATAACGATGGTTCAACCATCGAGTTAGATGACAACTTCCAGGAGGTAGTAGGTTCAGAGGCTGGCAGCGTAGAGGCTTCAGGGGATGGAGTAGTCGCTGCTGTAGCACAGAAAGGTAAGGCGATCGGTAGACGCCACAGAGGTTCCCGATCAAGGAGTCAAGTTGACCCCAAGCTCCTCCATGGGAGAAAGCGGGTCTCACTGAGGACATGTGGTGAGATCGGTGCACGCCGCAGGCTTGTATCCGTTGTGGCCAATATGACCATAACCAGTTCAAGTGCCAAAATAAGAAGGTGACCGAAAAGATCCCGCCTACGATGGGGCAGGCGTTGGGATCCTCCGCTCCCGTTGTAGCGATGTGGCCAGCACTTCTGGCACTGCCCCGGAAAACACGTCGGGCCAGAGGAATAGTAGATGTCCTGCTAGGGTCGAGATGGTGGACAGACCCTCACCATCTCGAGAGATGGCCCAAGCTACTGACTCCATTGTCGTCCCGCAAACAGGTTTAGACCCATCGAGCCTCTGTTCGATGAATGTGTTCGAGTCCTTAGAGGAGCTAGAGGAGGAGTGGTCTAGATCAAACCCGCTAGCTTCTTGGACGACATCGGTCAAAGTCCCTAAGGGTGAGATGTTCGTCAGCGAGGTGGTCATTGGCGGCCGCAAGGCCGGGGCCTATTATGACACTTGCTCAACCCGCTTATTAGTCGCGCGCGCATTGAGAGGCTGCGCTTACAGGGGCAAGTGCAGCGCCTGAGTCGACCTGTGGAGTCGACCTGTGCCAACAAACAGCGCATGGCCAGAATGTTGAGTGTTGTTTCCCGTACGCGGGAGGGGAACAGGGACATCGTGTCTCGTTCCTAGTGAGCAATGAACTCCCCATGGATATCTTGTATCTTGTTAGGTATGTACTACCTCACTGTGGCACATCCCCAATTTGACTGGGATCGAAAAGTGGTCAAACACACTTTGCCAGGGGGAGGGACCGCCAGATTACGTAAGTTCAAAGCTAGTAGTCTGATCGAGTCCTATGGATGCATGTGTGCGGCCGCGTTCTATAATTATTATAAGCAAAATCAGGAAGACGATATGTATCTAGTTTACGTCTCTGCTGTAGGCGAGCCGGTGAAAATGCCGCCAGAGATAGAGAGAGTAGTTGCTATACCCTGATCTATTTGAAGAGCCGACAGAGGTTGTTGAGAGGGAGGTCGTCCACGCAATAGAGATTATCCAGGGTCTAGCATTCCAAAGGGTAGGATATATCAGATGTCTCCAGGCGAGCTTGATGAGCTTCGCCGGCAACTCAAGGAACTCGTAAAAAAAGGTTGGATCCGGCCGAGTGTTTCTCCTTATGGGTCTCCAGTCCTATTTGTACCCAAGAAGAAGAAAGGAACACGTCGGATGTGCATTGACTATAGGGGTCTCAATGCCATCACTCCCAAGAACAGAGAGCCCCTACCGCGCACCGATGACTTGCTAGATAGAGTGCAAGGGTGTCGGTACTTCGGTAAGATGGATGTGAAGTCCGGATACCATCACATTGCGATCCGGCCAGAGGATCAACGCAAAACCGCTTTTCAGAACAGGTACGATCTGTACGAGTTTGTGGCGATGCCTTTTGGCCTTTGCAATGCTCCTGGCACCTTTCAGCACGCTATGAATCGGACTTCATGACTACTTGGATAAGTTTGTCATCGTGTACCTCGATGACATACTTATTTTTAGTAAGACTGTCGAGGAGCACGTTGCTCACTTGGACAAAGTCCTTAGTCTTCTGGACAGCATAAGTTCAAGATCAACAGTCAGAAGTGTGAGTTTGGCCGCACCCGTGTCTTGTACTTAGGTCATGAGATTTTCGGGGAGGGATTAAAGCCCGATGACGCGAAGGTGGCCAGCATTCGTGACTGGCCGCGTCCTCAGTCTGTGACTTAGATGAGGTCTTTCTTAGGGATGACCGGCTACTATCGCAACTTCGTGAAGAACTATAATATAGTTGCCACCCCTTTGACTGATCTAACTCACCTTGACACCCCATGGGAGTGGACAGACAGATGCGAGGCTGCTTTCACACATCTGGCATGCGTTGAGCATCATGAGGTCTTGAAACTTCCTGATAGTGGACAGACAGATGCGAGGCTGCTTTCAGACATCTGAAGCATGCGTTGATGCATCATGAGGTCTTGAAACTTCCTGATCTTGACAAGCCATTTATAGTAACTACGGATGCTAGCCAATATGGCATAGGCGCCGTACTAGCTCAGCAGGAGGGGAAAACGTTGAGGCCAGTAGAGTACATGTCCAAAAAAATGCCCTCTTAGAAGTTGGCTAAGTCCACCTATGAGAAGGAGCTCTATGCGATCTACAAGGTGTCACCCATTGGAGGCACTATCTCCCTGGGGGGTTCTTCTACGTCAGTACTGATCACCAGACCCTGAAGTGGATGAGAACCCAACCTGTGCTCTCCGACGCTCTGAAGCGTTGGATTGAAGTCATACAGCAGTATGACTTCGAGCCCCAGTACATCAAGGGGGAGTACAACAAGGTTGTTGATGCACTGTCGCGTAGACCTGATTTCTCAGGCGCGCTGATTACTGAGTTCGATCTTACGGATGATGTTACTCGATCTTAGGTGGAAGCCTATCGCGAGGACCAGTTCATGTCTGAGATCATACGCAGACTTGAGGCGAAGAATGAGAAGACTTCTGCCGATTTTGAGTTGGTCAACTGCTTGTTGTTCCTTGAGAAGGCAGGGAATAAAAGATTGTGTGTCCCAAATAGAGAGTCTTTGCGTAGTTTATTTTTAGGTGTGTCATGATGCCACCGGTCATTTTGGATATAAAAAGACAGCAACCA